ATGCCAACAAATAGGTTCTTAGAAAAAGGGAAACAAAAGAAAATAAACTCATTTATTTCGATTCGATAAGTTTGTGCACTAGAATTATCCAATTGAACAAAATAGGCCCAGACGAAAACTGATTGAAAATAGAGAGCAGACCGATCTAAGCAAGAAATCAGATGATAATGCATTATTCAAGCAAATGTATTAATCAATTGATAATCTCGTAGGATTAAGTGCAAGCAATCAACAAGCAACCAAAAGAACAAAAGAGCTTGGGTACATATGGGATGTACGTGTGCTTGTCCCTTTTCCTGTGCATGAGGTCGGCCTTAGCCCTGACTTCCGTTGTCAAAATCAAAAAAATGCACTTTCAAGTTTCAAATGAGGCAATTGGTCTTATTGTTTATCAAAAAGACTTCCGCTCCACTTTATATATGAATAATACAATTCAGCACATACAACACAATACAACACTATACCGCAACACACGCGCACAAGGCATTATACAAGGATGTTGAAGAACAACAACACAACTCCAAGAAAATGACTCCTTGTGCGGGTGGGCACCATTTGGGTTCATTGGCAACTGCAGATGGCATGCCCTTCTTCCTCCAGGAGGCATCTGCTCTGGGGGAAACCCTAGATCTGGGTCTCTCTGGTCGGATGATGACGAAGACTTGTGTCATTCTCTCTCCTAGGGGCACTGTTTTGGAGTAGGTACTGTCTGCAGGGGCCAAGAGGTGGAGCGGTGTTGCATCTACCGCATCAAAAATGGTGGGTCTCAGTGGCATGGCGCGGTGGAGTATCGGCGTTGGAGGTGGGTTGATGGATGCGCGCAGGCTGGTGGCATTGTCTGGCGTTGCGGCGGCGGCGACGGCAGTGGCCTGACAAGGTCAGTGCAAGGATCCCTCTTGAAGATGGGACGGCAGTAGATGGCAGTGCGGGATCCTAGAGCGCATGCATGCGGTGTGCGTTGTGGGTCTGCTAGGCCGTTGGTGCTCTCGACTCGCAGGCGGCGACTTCATGAGACCACCGGATTAGATGATGTGCTTTGGTGCAGTCAGGGTTCATCATCAAGCTTGTAGGTGTAGCGACAGAGTTCGTCAGAAAGGTGGCTTTGGATTGATCCTTGTATTTATTGTGTCAGTCTTTGTTGAATAATTTAATAAAGATGGATGAGTGCATCATTCGATGCAGAAGCCGGGGGTTATTCTCCTTTACAAAAAATGGGAAAACTCTAAGAAAATGGCTCGTAGGATAGAGAGCATATTTCTTGATGTCACCAGAGCCCTCAACCGTGAACAAGTCACTCCGAAGAGATGAAGCCGCACATGATGAGCTATGTACTCCAAGGCGGCGCCTTGATGAAGGGGCGGCAGCCTCTGCAACATAGTACAACTAGTCGTGAAGACACTTGCCACATCACAGCCACTGAACCTTGTACCCTAGTAACCCCGCCTCCTGCACGGCCATGGACACCATCCCGCACCTTAGCTAAGAGTTTCTCCCACGAGCATCGTGGCTCCCACCGCCAACGTACATGACCCCCTTATTAGCAGCTTGTGTATGTGCCTACTAGCGGCATTCGGCTGGCACACCACTAGTATGGTGTCGTTGATAAGTGATCACTAGCGACGAGCGAGTAACTTACTAGTGGCGTGTCTACCTGCACGACACTAGTAAGGCACATACAAGTGTCGTGTCTGGGCGTTTCACACGACAGTATTGTAGAATACTAATGGCATAGCGCTAATATTTTGGGGCATTGGTGATGTGCTTGTATTTTCGCGCGCCACTAGTACTTTGTTTTGGGCAAAAAGAAATGACACGACAGTGTATTTGTTGCCGTGGTAGCGTTTGCACATTTAATTCATATATCAATAGAAAAAGTATGCATTAAGTAGATAATTTTATGTATCACATTTTACACGAATTCAAATATCCAAATTGCAGCATACACCTTTAATTTACATAGCACACATTGATAGCATTGAATTACATGCATTCATTTCACATGGTGAATTTGTAAAACACATGCATTGTCATCTAGCTTCACTGCGGCGCCTCGGAACTGTTGAAGTTTCCGTCGACAAATCTTTGACGTGTCGTACTGAAGAGAACAAATGTCAGCATACATCATATCAAATATATTTCAACATGTATACATAGCATAAATGTCTTTTATAGAAATTTAGATACCAAACATAGCACATGGCAACAAATAGCAAGATTAGCACATAGCAAACCTAGGCCTGGCAGAAATTTTTAACCTTGGGGCTCATATTTGCTGTGATGGTAGTTTTGCGTTCATTTTTTGCTGAAATGGCAGCAATTCTGAGCCAAATAGCTCATTTAACTCCATGGTAGCAAATATGAGTGAAATGGCTCATTTAGCTGCCATCGCAACGATTCTAGGCTAAATGGCTCTTTTAATTGTCATGGAAAAACTTTTGAGCCTTTGACCTCATATTTGCTACCATGGGGTCAATTATTGTTAAACATGATCATTTCTCTACCATGGCCGCATTTATGAGTCAAATTGCTCATTTAGTTGTAATGGTAGAATTTTCCATCCTTAGGGCTAATATAAGCTAGCATGGTTGCATTTTTAGTTAATCTTTTTGCTGCCATGGTAGCATTTATGACCTGAAGCTCTCATGTTGTTGCCATTTCAGAATTGTCATGTTTCGATAAGACGAATGACTACTGAGGTTAATGAAGTAAACATAGTAGGTCATTTCCATCATGCATCTTTAAAACTTAAGTAGATACTACACAAAAGGTACGGTAACCCCAAAATCAATATAGAATTTGTCTGCGGGCAGATCTTCGAGGAAGCCGACATCGATGGAACCTTCACCATGTAAATCGAGCAATTTTTAGGTTGGCTAAGAAACGTGACCTTGTCCACCCTCTCTTTGTTGAGAATGTCATCATGAAGAAACCTCATGTCGGATAACATGGTATCGTGTATATTACTGGCGTGACGCCCGGATAATTAAGCTACAGTGAACCTCTGCTAATGATGACAGATCACCCCAGTTACTGTTGATAATCTCACGTTAGTTCAAAGCCGGTTCAAATTCAAATTTAAGTCAAAGTCAAAATTTAAAGTTTTCAAAAGTCAAAACCAAAAAATACAAACTCTGGCAAATAAATCCTAAGTAATAATGGTGAAGGAGCAAACATTTTTACAATTATTTGAATGCCCTAAAATAAATAAAACAATGATTGAAATAATAACTTAAATGCCTTTTTATTTAATGAAGAATGCAAAGTACTTTACTTTTGTCCCAAACTTTTTGTGACAACAGTTAAACTTAAAACTCTAGTTTAGGAGTGGGTTTTACTTTTTATAAAATCATAAACTATTAAATAAGTAAAATAAAATCAGAAAAGATAAAATTAATAAAAAAGAGAAGAAAATAATCGCCCTACCTGGGCCTCGGCCCAGCTGGCCACTGGGCTAGCCAGGTCGGCCCAACTGGCGCCCACTCCCCCCTCCATATCCCCACCCAAGGGGAAAACCTAACCCAACCACCCTCACATCCCCACTCCTCTCTCTGTTTTCCCCGATCCAGATCGGATCGGGCGCTCTCAGTCGCCCCTCGCCGTTGGATCGACCCCAACCGTCGTTGCCGACCACCGCTGTCGCACGGGATCGCCATCGCCACCGTCTTCTCCGTCGCTGACTCGGCCCCGAGCTCGTCGCCCCACCCCCGTCATCATTTGCCATCGTCCCCGTCTCTCCATCACCGGCCATCACCGAGCCTCGACGCCCACTCCCCTCCAACGCGTGTGAGCCCTCGAGCTCCGGCCTCGCTCCTCTCTCTCCCCATTCTCTGTCACTAGCGACGTCCGCCGCCCGCCGACCGCACTCAGCCCGCGCCTCGCCGTGGTCCTCCGTGCCCCCTACACGCACGCCGCGTTCGCGTCTT